GTATTTCATTTTCCTACCGACATAAACACAAGTTTGCCTGTGACTCCAGAAAGGCAACGGCAGCTTAGCGGATTGTGGTCAGAAGTACTGATTCTGAAATGCCAGTTTCCCTTTCCTCCTCTGGCTGCACTGCTAACATGATGTACCACTCTTTTGTTTCTTCCTGACTCAAAGACGTCAGTAGGGTGCAACTTCTCTCTAACACCACTTTTTGATGGACCAACTGTTCACTCAGCAAAATCACACGGCCAGCACAAGCATAATGGCACGTTCTGTCAACAGCTGCAACAGAGTGAACTTCATTTTTGTAAAATAACATTGAGTCCAGACTTTCCTCACTCAAACAGCTCTCATTGTAGCTGCCACAGTTCTTTTTCTTTTCTGCCTGTTCGAAGCAGATAGTTAGTTCCACCCCAGCTATCATGCAGGTAATAATTTATACTTACAAAATTAAGAAAAATAAATCTCAGAAAGCCAATCCTTACAGGCTTTTTCCCAAAGAAATATCAACTTAAACATTTTTTTTTAGTCTATTCACACTTCTGCTTTTTGAACACAATACAGTTAAAGTGTAGAATTGTAACTATAGAGACAAGGCACAATAAACACAAGTTAACTCACGAAGTCTGTGGAAGAAAAGCACGACGTTTGTCTGTGTTCCCTATTCACACAGTGCTGGAAGGAGAGTCCAGCTAAAAAATGCAGTGCCTGTACAGCTCCAGCACCACACAATTAGTACTTGTCATCCTTGGAGCTCAAAATAACACAGTGTGTTCGTTTGCAGAGGAAAGAATGCATTTTCTTAAGAAAATTGGATCTCTGTGCTGATAGTGCCAAGTCCACAAATAAGATTAAGGTTTATAAAAGTGAGAATTAAAGATACTGTCAGACAACCAAGTGAGAATTAATGAAATAAGTGAGAAACTAATGAAAAAAAATAAGCATTTTAGTGTAAATCTTGAGTCCAATTCTGCTCCCCAATTTCTTAAGACAAAAGAGACAATAGTAATGTCAACAAACAGCAAAACTAGCACAAGGTATCTCTCTTTTGCTGATCAAGGGCAGTGATTTTCTAAAAGTTTATTGTATCTGAGATGCCTGCAAACATCAGCCCGTGGCTAGTTGGCACACTTGGGCTCTCAGACTCAAGCAGCAGAGGCTGTACATACTTGCTGGTGGCCAGCTTCAAATCAACTGCCCCAAATGAGACAGGGCAAACCAGCCACTGTCAGCACCTGGCACAGCTGTCAGGGTGGAGTATTGACATCCCAATGCACTCAGGGAGCATAATCCAAGAGATCTTTCAAGGAACAGAATCAAAACCCCGGAGAGTTTGCCCACATGGGCACACAAACCTGTTTTATCACCCACTGATGCCACCAGTGGTGTCTCCAGCCTTCATCCCACACCTCTGCCTGCTGTTTCCCCTTGTTAGAAGGGTTACTGATATTGATCAATGTAACAAAGCATGCTGTGGGATCACCAATGCTTTTGTGGACCCACTGAGTCCAAAACATTTACTTTTTTCAATATTTATTTTTTCTTTGTAGAAATTCAGTTCTTTTCCCCTTTGTTACAAGCCTAAAGCATAGAGAACACCATTTTCAACCTCATCAACATGTATATATATAAATCCAGCAGATGCTGATGAATTTCTTCTAATTCTGACAGTCTGCATAAGTGTATGGTGCATGACTAGTCTGCTCCTTCAACATAAATACTGTAAAGAATAAAAACAACCCCAGCACAGACCTTTCAGGCAAATAATTTCAGACATTTTGCACAGTTACTTTAAATGCCCCTGGTAAATGATCATTGTGCAAGTCTAAATACAATCTTAATGGCTCTGTCTTTAACCAAACAATATGTCTAGCCGAAGACTTTCAGTACACTGGGGAGGTATGATTATACAGTCCACAAAACCCACGCTATTCTGCCCCTGTCATGCCCTTCTTTGTCCTATGAAGTGTCTGACATTTTTAATTTTAGTGCTAACTGCAACCTTTTTTTTCCAGAACTGAAATAACTCTTGCTGAGTTCATTGTTTGATCCTGTCTGTAAGTAAAGCGAAATCAGTACAAGCTCTGCCGCACTCTACTGCCCAGCAGAATTGCTGGCTCTAATGAGCCTGGGTGTAATGAATCTGTGTTCAATCACTTCATTCTTAGCAAGACCCAGGAGTCTCGGGTGCATGCCATCTGCTCCGACTGACCCGGCTGCTCTTGGATTTTTTCCATTTATTCCAGCATTTCCTCTTCTGCCACATGCTCTCGCATTGCCTACCTGCTCTCTGCTACCTAGCCTCTTTCATCCATATAACTTCTTGGATTAATCCAACAAACCTTTAAACCAAACCAAACCCTTGCCTGTTTGCTGTCGGAGAGCACACATCACTGCTTTTCCCCTAGGAACTGACATCCCAAACAGCACTGCTCCATCTAGGAGGCACCCACTGATTTTTGTCTTGACAGCAAACCCTGCCATTACAGGAAAGGAAGTGGAGGGAGATTTTCTGTGATGTCTGTGAGCATTATCCTGATGAGTAATAAATCTCAATCAAAAGGAGTATAAGGAAAAGCTTCTTCTTTCTCAAAGATTTATCCCACTTATTATACAATACAACTGAAGACAACAGCACAGGTCTGAGAATGCCACGGCACTAAATGTCAGTTCTGGAAGCATCCTGATTTGTAAAGCAACTCCTCGAAGAATGCCTTGAGAATAAAAAGCTGCAAATTGCACATAGCTTACAAAACCATCCATAACTATCTCTTGCTATAGCCCATGCAAGGGCCACAGAATGGTGTTAAGTGCCTTCTGGATTGTGCAGGCTCTGCTTAGTAGAAATCCAGAATTGGTTTCCAAACCAAATCTCCCCATTTCTGACATGAATAAACTCAGCATGACCATTTCTCAGTCGGTCAGTAGGGATGCTGCCTGTATACAAAGCACTAATAGTGACAGATGGGGAATTTAAAAAGCATTAAAAACTCCAAAAAACGTTCATACTCAAAAATTATTTCAAAGAAAGCATGTTATCTTAACCCAAATAAGCTGTCTTGGTCTAAAATAGGTGTTCCCTGTACTAGCAGAAAACGTATACCAGGAATCTGTGCATTGCTCCCCTAACTGTTAGAATGGTAGGATTTTTTAAATGTGAAAATATTAGATTGCATTTTTGCAATATAATAAGACAAAACATCAGAAAAATATCACAAACAGCATTGTGGGATTTTCCCTATCAAAACATCCTCAGTCATAATTTATTTTTTTTAACTCATTCCATTAATTCATTTTTCCCGAGGTCTCAGTAAATATAGGAATACCTGACAGAGGTGGGTTCTGAGGACAGGTATGCCAGCGGTAGAGCAGAATGCCACTGTGATTAGTGCCCTATAAACAAGAGGGGGAGGGAAGGAAGGAAAAAGAGAAACAGACCCAGATCCCACAGGCCTTATTATCTGAATATTTCTGAAGCCAATTACAGGCTTCTTTGCCAGTAATGTTCTGCCCACAGCACAAATACACCTGGAAATAATCTAAAATAGTACAAAAGCTCCCAGAATGTCAAAACCAACCAACAAACAAATTCAAAAACAAGACTCCTCAAAACAAAACCAAAATCAATACTTCACCATTTCCAGGTTTAAATCACACATTAGTACCAAAACGATCCTGAAAACAAACTATGATAATAACGTAATAATAAATTTCACTGAAATGATAGGGTAAGAAACCACATAGCAAAAATAAGAGGGTTTTTTCATACTTCTTTGAAAAAATAAGCGGCTATTCGAATAAACAGCCTTATTTGAAATTAAATGCCCTGTTCTTCCTCTTTCCAAAAAGAGGAAAGAGGAAGAACACTCCTAAGTGCTCTATGTATGTGAAATCTCTGCTTTCACCACTTGATTCACCTGCAAGACCAAGGTCACAGTGTGGCTCAATAAGTAATACAGTGTTTGGTAAGATTTTTGTTTTACTGATCGGATAACGAGCACAAGTAGGAAGAAAAACATCCTTGAAAAACCACAATTTTCATTCAGAATCCCCTGTGCAATACGAATTTATATAACCCATTAAGAGACGATCTGCCAGCTATCAGGACAACAGTAGAGTTCACTACCTTTGGGCAGTACCCAGGTACATGACCTCCACTTCAACGTAACTTTTTTCAGCTTGATAAGTAAAAGCTATTGAAGAACAAAATTCCTGAAAATAAAGTTAAATAAATAAATAAACAAACAAACATCCTATCTCTGTTGAGGAAGTATTAGGCAACTACAGAGTGTTAGTTAAATTACTAATCCACAGGTGGAGAAGACCCAAGTCTGGTTTCTCCCTGTTCCTGAAAACTGGCTGGCACCAGCTTTCTCCCAGCCCGGAGAAGCTTTTCCTCAAAAAGCAGGAGGGCTCCTCCTCACAGCCCCTGTTGGAGACCACTCCTGGGGCTCCGCTACTCGGACGGGGCAGAGCCTCGCATTTGGCACCTTGTATTCGCGCTCTAGAACCAGCACTAAACACCGCAACAGCATTTTATCGACGGTTGGGGGTTTTTTTTCACTGAAACAGTATTTAGGAAAAAACCCTCAATGGTAAACGGCACGTCCTTTCATACAACCGCCTTTATGACTTTTAGGGCCCTTTTGAGAAAGCCGACGGCACTACCGACCTGACAGGAGAGCGCGCCCGGAGCCCGCGGGTGCCCAGCCCGCACGGGCGGCCCCGCACGCACCCGCAGCCGGAGGGCAGCACCGCGGAGCGCCGGCGCTGCCAGCGCAGTCCGGAGGACGGAGCAGCCCCGGCCCCGCTCCGCTCTCCCCGCCGCCGGCAGGGCTGTGCCTCGGCCCCGCGGGCAGCGCAGAGGCACCGGCCCGCCCGCAGCCCCCAACTTCCCGGCGGAGGCAGCGCCAGCCCCTCTCGGAAGGGCTGCGGGAGCAGGTCCCGTCCCGCACCCCCCGCACTCCGGGGGGAGCTGGAGCGGACACCCCCGGACCCACCTGGTGCAGCGTGTCCGGGGGCAGCTGTGAGGCCCGGAACAGCTCGCCCACGCTGCTGCCCCCGGCGGCCGCCTCGGGGGGCGGGCAGCACCGCGAGAAGAGCTCGGAGTAGCGCTGCTGCTCGGTCTCGCTCAGGGGCAGGAGCAGACCCCCGGTGCCGGCGGCGGAGCCGGACCCCCCCGCCGGCCCCTGCTCCATGGCGGAGCGGCGCAGGCACAGCCGCTCGGCGGGGCAGCGGGTGCCGCGCCGCCGGGGAGCCGGGGGACGGACGGGGGGACAGGAGGTGTGGCGGGGCCGGGGGTGGGACGGGCGGCGGGACGGGAGGTGTGGCGGGGCCGGGGGCGGTGCCGCGCTGCGGCGGCGAAGGTGCAGTCCCCGCCCGGTGAGCGCCGCGCCGGCTCCGCAGTGCCCCGGCCGCCGCCGCCGCCGGCCCCGCCTCTGCCCTCCCCGCCGCCCCTCCGGCTGCCCGTCCGCCTTCACGGGCCTGCCGCTCCTGCCCCGCTGCGGGACGGCACTCCCGGCGCTCAGCAGCACGCGAGTTTCTCTCCAGAGCGTGGAATCACTGAATGGCTTGGATTGCAAGGGGCCTTAAAGAACGCCTCGCTCCCACCTCCAGGCCGTGGGCAGGGACACCTCCCGCTAGACCAGGTTACTCACTGCCTTGTCCAGCGCGGCCTTGAGCACTGCCTGGGACGGGGCTTCCCTCACCAGTAGCGGGTTCAAAGTACCACCTGCTGCTGAACGTGCCACGTGGGCACCAGAGAAGAAATGGCATAATTCGATACCCTGCAGTGAGTCCTAGTCGATTAGCCATGACGGTTTGAGAGAGAAGCATCTCACTGTGTTCTCTACAGCCTTTGCTTTAACGTGAAGAGCAAAGAGCCCCTTGTTCATGGAGACGACATTCCTCTTTATTTCTTCCCAGCAGTTGTTCGGGGAAATTCAAGGAATAAGCTAATCACAGATACAAGGTGATCCTTGTAAGTATCTGTGACGCACAGAGGAGTCAATGCAGCAGCTTGGTGCATAGACATGGCCTGGCCCAGGAGAAATCAGACTTACCAGCTGTTTGTTTCCATCCTGTACCATTAGCAATGTTGGGCCAGCGTCGTTACCTGTGTTCCTGAATGCAAAACATTTGGGAAGTCAATGTGGTTTAATTTTTATATGTTTCTTTACTATTAATTCAGAAAAAATATGAAATCCAAGTGTAATAATTTTACATAACATTTTTACTAGAAAATAGTTCCATTTGTGGTCTGTAAAGAAAAAAAAATAAAATTACTAGCTCTTCACTTCTGTTCTTGTTAACTGAACATTGTTATTCCTTTTTAAAATCTTTTTTTTAAGCTACTTTATCATCTTCACACCACATTTCTGTGCTTTCTTCTCACTTGCACAAAACATGCAAACTCTTAATTCCTCTGATCCAAAATGAAGATCTGTTTGTGCCTTCTCAATGTGTGGAACGCTGAATGGGTTGTTAGATACAGCTATTAGCAGGTGAATAATTGATACTTGTGTTTAAGGATGGAGTGTTATGGAGAAATATTTTTTTCTTTTAGGGATGATTATGATGGTATTTTCTCATTTTAAAATATATTGTTATGCAGGAGGGCAAGACTATTTCAGCAACTGAGTTTTGTAGCTCAACTTAAAGTGGCAAGTGTCTGTAGTAGCTCAAAAAAATCAAGCAAGTCCTCTTGAGAAGGCTCTGCAGAGTGGAGAGTGAATGACCCCCTCAGCTGCAAGGTACATCACCTGGAGAGTCCTAAGATGTCACTGGCCTTTTTCTCTATCTCCAGCCAGAAGGAGATATGCTCTGAGGAAATGGTGCGAGCCATGTGAAGAGGATGTAGGGCCACACCTAACTATTGCCATATTTAACTATATGACTCTCATGATAAAATATCTTTAACCTAGCTTATGGCAGAACAGCTGGCTTCCAGCTGAACTTGAACAGGAGGGATGTTATCCTGACAAGCAAAAGAAAACACTGTGAATAATTTGTGTTAATTGTGCATCTTCCTGTGCCTGATGATGCTAATTTGTAACTGACCAGCTCAATACTTGTGATGTCTCATCACAACAAATCCGCCCTTTGCCAATACTCCAGCAGACACCATTTGATCCTTGTTGATGTATCAGCCAATTCTTTAAAGTTATTCTAAGGTGGACCCTGGCAGGAAGGTTTTGGAAACACACACTGTCCTGAACACAAGCCTGTCTCACCAGCCACACTTCTTGCTGCCAACATACCCAGCTGTTTTTTTTTTTTTTCTCCTTTGGACAATTTTCTCTTCTGCCTTGACCTTTAAAACTTGCATTCCTCTCTCCATACTGCCCACTCTGATCAGAAATGACACAGTGGCTGTGTTCACAACCAGTCTACCCCAGTGTTGTTATCTCCAACATGTTGTCTCCAAAACATGAAAGAAGTGAACTACCATAAGCTAAGGGAGGAGGCAGGGAAATCCATGCCCTTTATGCCTGCAATGTAAGTGTGAGCCTAGAGGTGTACCAGGTGTGAGGTGACCACCCCAGTTTGCCTTTGGGGAATAGAGTGGTGCTCAGGTGTCTGCCTGCTCCCTGCAGGTGTTCTGTACTCAGCAGAGCCAACCACATGGACTTAATCTGCTGCACCCACTCCTTATGTGGAGTTTTAATCCACTCCATGTGCCAGAGCCACTTTCTGTACAGTCCAGTGCACCTTGTGCAATGACATTTACAGCCTTTGTGTGCTTTAAAGTTCTTGTGAGGGTACATTAGTTCAGACTAAGAGGCACTTAATGATAACAAAAGCCATACAAATATCATAGGAAGAGAGATTCAACCTTCCTGTTTACATGGAAGCTGTGACATCATTTCAGATTATAAAGCTTCCTTACAACTGAGAAACACTACACATCAGTATCAGAATATGAACAATTCAAGTATTTATTTTTTGCTGGAGAAAATAGTCAGTAATGTAAACTGAATTGAAATCTGACTTATCAAACTATGGCTTAGATCTGTGTGTGGTCCTCCTTCCCTCCCCACCCAACTAGTAATGCAATTACTCTGAAGTCAGCCAGCAGCAGTCCTGCAAACAATTGTGTGATCACGTGTGGGAGGGAAACAGAGGTCGTAGTAAAAAAAAAAAAAAAAAAACTAAAATAAATACTACTTCCAAAGATGTGCTAATAGCAATAACAGTAACATGGATGATAGGTACATTTTTGTTCAGGATATAAACTGGTATAAATTGTCATGTATAATATGACATAATACATAACCTCCAGTAAAAGAAAATTTCCCAATATTTTAGTATTTAGAAGATCCTGGGAATTTTTATTTGAGCAATAAAACCAAACACTAGTCACTCAAATTCATGTGTTATTTCAGAAGTCTTAGGGTTGAGATCGTGTCAGACTTGTCCTGGTCCAAAAGACAAGAGATTTGCCTGGCAGCTGCTCTCCATTGACAGTGGAAACACTCCATATATCGCCAAGTAAAGCTTTGGAAACGCATGCAAATGGTTGGCTGGAAAACTGTGATTTAGCTTTTCCCAAACCAGCTCAAGTGAATCTTACCCATTGTTCCTCATAACAATTCTTTTTATTTACTTGCTTTGCAAAATCAAAGAAGACTTTGATGGGGCAAGCAACTGATGGGGCATGTTTCCTAACCATAGTATCAGACATGCTTGGAATATACTTGACAAGCTTGCTGTTTAGTGTATACATTCAGCATGCAAATACTCATATTCTTTGCATTGTTGCTTACATGAAGAGATCCTGTTTCTAAGAAAAGCAGGAGAAATGCTTAATGTACTGTAAAATTTGATTCCTTATTCTCCAGCTTGTTAACACCTTTGATGAAAAAGACTAAGAAATAGTAACTGTTTTCTACTCTGACCAATTCATTGTTTTCAAAAATTAGATGGCATCATAAACTGCACATTGTGGAAGATGCGATTCCTGGCAGGTTTTTTGTTTTCCGTAAGCAACTGAGTACATAATCAAGAATTAGAGTTTGTGTCACAAAGTATTTGACAAATATCCATATATTTATTAGTTGGGAGGAGAGGAGGGAAGGAGGGAAAGAGGACCACACACAGATCTAAGCCATACTTTCATAAGTCAGATGTCCATCCAGTTTACATAACTGACATAATTTCTTTCTAGCAAACAATAAATACTTGAATTGTTTTGATTTACTGGTATGTACAGTTTCTTGGTTCCAGGAAAGCTTTGTAACTTAAAATGATATCACAACTAGTTGTGTTTAGAGATTCTTTTTATAAAGTCCTTTTATGAAGACTTATGCATGTAGTATGAGCTTTAGTGGCAGAAGGCAAAGCCCATGCACACATTTTTGTAAGAGCAAGGACAAAAAAAGTACAGTGCTTTTTAGGTATCTTTCCAGGAAAGTACAGCTGCACTTCTATTGATTTCCATCATAGTGCCTCCAGTTTATTTCCAGCCGTTTAAAATAATGGCTTCATGTGAAATTGAAAAACAATTTAGGTGCACGTTTGTTTTTCTTTTAGTTTTAGTTTTGAAATATCCACTTACTTTTTATTCCATAGAAGCAATAAACCGAGAACTTGAACATGTTCCTCTATCATTTGTATTTTAACTTAGGAAATTAACAAAGCCTTCAGCGACTATTCAAACACTAGATTTCAACCAGAACACACCAAACCTTACTTTGCAGGGTGATCATTCCTAAAGGTCCTATCATCAGACACTTGAATGCCTGAACCAAGAAATGCTGCCAGGGAAAATCTATGTGATCCTGGAAGTCCCACACAGAAAAAATAAAAATTACAAACTATGTAAATAAATGAGGGACTTATTAATGTCTTCTCATACACACACAAGATAAAATGTAAAAGTTTCAATATACTCTGAAAGTTAACCCATTCCTTGTCTCATGGACAAGGAGAGAAACACATGTTAGGCAGAAGGGGCTATTATAAGAGCACAGATGATAATTAAAGAAAATTCCTTAGTGCTTTGTGTGGCAGCTCGTGTACTATTGCTTGTTTCTTTTAACTATCTGTTACTGGTAACCACACTCCTAAGTGAAAAATAATCACAGAAAGGCACAGAGACATTAATCACTGCAATGAAGCCATGAATGCAAAGCAAAATGTGTATTTTCCATTTGAAGAAATAGCAAGTAAAAAATCACTGTACATTTACTCATCCGTG